ACCCCGGCTGGGGGTGCAGACCCCTAGTCAGGACAGCATTGCACCCCGGCTGGGGGTGCAGACCCCTAGTCAGGACAGCATTGCACCCTGGCTGGGGTTGCAGCAGTAGACATGCAGTGCACCCAGGCTGATGGTGCGCTGAAACAATCTCTTCAAATTGTATGCACATTAATGCAGACATCTCCCATCAAGTCCTTTGAAAGCCGACTAGGAAACCAGGGTGAGACTCACATACATTCCCAGGTCCGCTTATGCAGGGACTCTAGATGGACCGTGCAGAGCTAACATGCCTGATTGCTGAATGCTACTCTTCTTGTACTGAAGTATTGCCCCGACAAAGTCACAGTAAATTCCAGACAGAAGCCTACAGCTCTCCAGGATGTCTAGGACTAGAAAGTGGGCAATCAGTCTCCTGATTCATTTTTATCATCTATTCAACATTCTTCCAAAATTTGGTGACAGTGTGGGCTTCCAGTTCCCAGTGCCACTCACTGGCCACTGCAGTGAGTGCCACCAGCCTTTCCTGGGGCTTGCTCCATGCCATTCCAGCCCACACGAACCCAGCCAGGTACATGTCACAGCTCCCCAACTGCATTAGTCCATTTGCACAGATGTCACAAAATTGTCCATGACTGATTAATCTGTAAAGAGGAGAAAAATGTTTTCCACAGTTCTAGAAACTGGGAAGTCCCAGCTTAAGGCGCCAGGGAGTTCTGTGTCTGGTGAGGGCTACATTATCTAGAAAGGAATCCTCAGCATCCTCACATGATAGACAGCAGAAGGAGAAGGGAAACAAAACCTTATGTCCAGCTCCCGGGAAGACCCCAGAAGGCCTGATCACTTCCCAACACCACAGTATTAGAACACCTGCATTTTGTAAGGGATACTGTAAAATCACCCAGCTCATGTGAGTTGAGCAAGATAATGTGGCAGCCCACAGACATTTACTGAGCAATCTACCCTGAGGCTAAAGATAGGAGAGCCAGACCCAGGCTGTCTGCATAGAGCTTACATTCCATTGAGAAAAAAAAAAAATGACATGGGACAAGGTAGAGTGGTGTGACACTCGCCAGGGTGGAATAAAAAGTGAGGAGAAGATGGCGAGCAGCCCAGCAAAGCAGGCCAGGCCTGATTGTTTCTTCTCTGGGGAAGCTACTGACTTTTGAGTGAAAGCCAGATTCTTCGAGTCTGGCCCCTGTCTGCCACCTGAGCAAGAACACTTCCAGAAAAGACTGGGTTCTTAGGGCTGCGTTCCTGTCACAGACATCCTCCTGGCACCAAACAGGAACCTAGGAACATCCTGGAGCTCAGCTTCTTGGCCCACATCCTGCTTTCTCCATGCCCCACATCACCACACCTGCTGTCCTACCCCTCTAGCCCACCAGGAAGCTCGATAGAGAAGGATTCTGCAGCTGCCCCTTCATGCTCTTGCTCCTCCAGGTCTATCAGAATGATCTAGAATATAGCTATTTACGTTGCTCCCCCCACTAGTCATCTTGCGTGTTCCCTTTGTTTTCGAGATGAAAACCCAGTGGGAGGCAAGAAAGGACTCAGCCCATCTGTAGCCATGCTCACTCAAGGCCACAAACTCAGGGTTTCCAGTGAGTTCTTCAGTGATACCCTGGGAGCTGACTCTCACCAGTGGAGCCGGAAGCTCATTCAAGGAGGCCAGAGACAGCGTGGGTGTAACCTGTCCCAATGGTCACTGCATCGGCGGTGGGAGGAAAGATGACTTGCCTCTCACTCTGTCATTCCAGGGGAGGACAAATCTGAGGAGAGAAAAAAAAATGAAAACTGAGCAGATTCAAAACACTGTCAGTTTGGAAAGAAAGAGTGGCAGACGTTGTATCATGTTGACACCAGTGTGTACCACAGAATGCTCCCACTAGGCCAGCCTGGTGTGTTCAGAGCATGGGAACCTGGGGAGGGGAGGAGAGGATGGCACGGGTGAACCCAGAAGCAGAACTTCCCTTCAGAGAAACTGCTCATCTGTTTAATTCTCTTTGTATCATCCCCACGGTTCTGAAACTGTGTGAAATGAAAGATGGAAAATATCCTCTAGAAGAGCCATACCCACCCCGGGGTGGAGACCCAATTACCTACAGTCTTTTTCCACGCTCAAATGACTCTGCTCCATGCCATCTTTTCACAAGACTAACCTCATTCTTCCTATAACGTCGAAATGCCCTGTCCATGTGTCCCATGTGTGGCAAATTGTGCCTAGTGGCACACGGTTGTAGGTCCAGGTTAGGAGAACTCAGCCAGGGCACACCAGCGTGAAGATGCAGATTCTCAAGGCAGAAGGACCTGTGGATGGCAAGGAGCAGCGAGGAGGCAGAGTCCTACGCCCACCTAGGTCATCAAGGACAGGCAAACTCAAGGGAGTCATCTGTAGAGGAGCCAGGCTGACTTGAGGACAGAGATACAAGTGCGGCTTCCTTTTTGCACCAACAGACCCACAACCTACATGCACTGTGATCCCCTGGGGCTGCCAAGAGTGACACAAACCCTAGGACATCACCCGACAGTAGGGATGTTAAAAAAAATAACAACAACAAGGCAAGAATGCAGCAAAGTAAGATATAAGCCTGGTGACATTCATTCTAGCTATTCAGGAGGCTTATACAGGATGATGGTAAGTTCATGTGCTGGAGCTCCAGAGTGGGCTGTAGGTCCTGAGTAACCTAGTGAGGGGCACACCTAGATAGCTGAGTCAGGAGATCCATCCACACATATGCAGAGATAGGTAAAGATCCTGGGGAGTGATGGCTTGATGGGAGAACACTTGCCTGTCATGGACGAGACGCTGAGTTCAGTCCTCATTACAGAGAGAGAGAGAGAAAGAGAGGGGGGGAGAATCAGGGCACACATAAATATGGAAATATAAAAATGAAAAAAGCATGACATATAAAGAACTATGCACTCACACACACGACTGCAATAATACAAATTTAAAACAATAATGGGATATAAGCTGGAGAGAGATCAAGGTGGAGAACCGGGAGTCACTTCAGTGAAGCATTGGCCGCACCAACAATCCTATGCTGATATTACCTTTGAAATGAAAGTTTCCAGAGCTTTACAATGAAATTTATGTCAAATTAATTTCTGGGACTCAATGAAGCTGAAAATGAATTCACAATGAGGCGCACTTAGCAGGAGTGTGTAGGGGCACAGAGGGGCTGATCAAAGAGGTCCCCTTCCTGCCGTTAGCTCTAATTTCCTGATTATGACACCTTTTCTTCTCGTATAACACATAATCTAAGAAATGATATGCTGTTACAATTACTGTATATGCGGAATGTGTGACCAAATGGAAGTTGAATATTGCTATGTTATTATGATCGGTATTATTATTAGTTGAGTATCAACAATGTTCATAATCTTGAGATATAATGAAGAGAGTTTGTGAGCTACAGATTAATACTTTAATTTAGGCATACTTATAATTCTGATATAATACATACACCCTGAGAAAATGATTATCTTAAGTGGAAGAATTCCTTAAATTATATGCTTCTGGTCCCTCCTCTTTCCAACTGCAGGCCAACGGAGGAGGTTAACATTTTCTATAAAACGGTTCCTGTTCCTCATGTACAATATTAATAAATTCTAAAGTATATTTTAAAGAAATTTAGGGGTTTTTTTTTTTCATTAAAATTGTCCTGTAATGAGCCGGGTATGGTGTTCCATGTCTGCAATCCCAGCACCAGAGAGGTGGAGGCAGGAAGGTCAGGAATTCAAGGTCATCCTCAACTATATAGCATATTCTAGGCTAGTCAAGGCTACCCGAGACCCTGTCTCAGAAAAACAAACAAACAAAAATGTTCTGTAAACATTCTTAAAAATCGTATATCTCTTTACTCTATTTGCCATGCATTTACACCTTCATTTCACAAGCATTACATGTGTGCAGAAAGATTAAAATGAGAACTTAACTGTTTAACTTCATTCAAATCACAGAATTCAGAGATGGGCATTTTCACTCTTTTATCCTAAATGACAGTGAACAAGAAACACACAGCCAAAAGTATCACCGGCATCCTAGGCAGGCTTGTTACTATGTATAGTTGCCACTTAGTGAACCCCACAGGCAAGCCATCCTGGATGAACAGGTGACAATCACCAGAACAGAGTCCCACAAAACAAGGTGTGTTGTGCGGCTGCTTTACTGATAGAGACAGAACACACACCTCTATCAGGACTCGTGGTATCCTCTGTGAGGAACAAGCACTCTTCCAGCAGCTTCCAGGGTGCCGCCAGTGAGGGGGCAGCTCTCTGTGTGTCCTATAGATGCCCTGGTATTATTGCATGGATGTTGAAGGTATAGACTGATTGTAACTGAATCAATAAAACAGGGCAGTAGATAATTATCTACTCATAGATAACTCACAAGGCAGCCATGGCCTTGGAGCTGTCAGGTATCATTTGTTTGGTCTGCTGGGAAAGTATCCCAGACCTGTTCTAAAGGTTCAGATCCCCACCCCGCCCCCGGCTCCCCACCCCAGGGAGGCAGGGTGGGCTTTCTTAGCTGAATCCCACCTGGTCCCGCCTACTCTGCATCAACTTCTCCTTGTAACAATGTTTTCTTTTCTTTCTTTTTCAGTGTTTTGTTTCTTTATAGGCTAGACCCCTAGCCCCTTTGTAGACCCAACCATGGTATAATCATGCACAGAATGAGCTAAATTAACTTTAAAAGCTCACATATTTGTCTTTGCCACGAACATAAAATCTACTGAACTGCTGCATTTTTTAACTAGATGCTCTAGATATTTCTTTCCACCCCCTCGAAATATACAAAACCTAATTAATAAATATTTAGTTAGAAGTCTATAAAATATAATATCACTCACTTCATTAATTGCTCAATGGGTTATTACATAACTTCTGTCGTTCATGAAAACAACTTGTCTGTGGGTTAGACATTCACTTGACCAGGAATTCCTGAATGTGCACAGGCATTGCCAAGAAAGCCAGCCAATTACAACAAGAGCTGTTGCTTCGTTTTATAAAGTGGTGGGTCCCTTACATATTCGCAAATAAAAATATCCTCTTTTCCAGGAACAAGACCATGACATGTAAAACAAGCCACTGCTCAGTGAAACACAACACCCTCAAAATCAGCAAATCAGGCATAAAATATTTACAGGCTTCCAGTCACCCAGGGTGAGCTACCTGGAGAATTGTGCCTGGTTCCTGAATCCCACACTTCCTGCCACTGCTCGGCCCTGCTGGTACCACCCCAGGCCTCTTGGCGTTGCCCCAGGCCTCCTAGTACTGCCCCAGGCCCCTCCACTATTGCCCTGTTCTAATTCCCTTCTATTGCTGTAATTAAATATCCCAGCAAAAAGAAATTTAGGGGGAAAGGGGTTTCCTTTCAGATTACGATTCCAAGTTACAGTCCATGAGACAGAAACTTCAAGCATCTGGTCACATCACATCCACAGAGAAGAGCAAAGAGGCGTGCAAACATGCTTCCTTCATAGTCCTCACCTTGCTTTCTCCACTCTTGCCTATTAGGACCCCTGCCTAGGGAATAGTGTTGCCCACACTGGGCAGGCTCATCCCACATCAATTAACTTTCTTTCCAGGTGATTCTAGGTTTTGACTAGTGTGAGAGCCTGTTTTAGGGTTCCTCGTGGCTTTACTCAGCAGATCCACATAGAGGATGATTAGGGCCACAGGCCTGAGTGCAGGTGTCTGAAATGGTCTGCACTTGGCTGTGCTGGGGGGAGGTCTTTTGCTCCACCCCTTGGTGTCTCTTTAAATACCCTGGGGCAGAGACAGTCAGGGCCCTTTGGAAAAGGTTCCAGGCCCTCTCGAGGCTATCCTTTATTTTCTATCTGTTTATCTCCACAATATAAATCCTTCTATCTAATATTTCCTGCTGCTTACACTCAAGAAAACTCTGGGGAGCTGTGGGGTTGGTGGGTAAATGCCCCACAGACTAGTTAACAATTAAAACCAACTATGACATGCCCTAAGCCTCCTCCAACTGCCCAGCCTTCCTGGTACTACTGTGGGTCTCCCAATATGGCCCCCCAAGCATCCCACTACTTCTCTAAGCCTCCTGCCTCTGCTCAGCCCCCCTGGCTCCACCCCCAGGTTTCTTTTTTTTTTCCCCCAGGCCTCCCAGACACCACGGGGTTTGGGTCCAGTGCAGAGGCAGCTCATTTTTAACCATCACTTAACTGCTGGGACAGACATATATTTGCTCAGAAACATGTTCATTTAAAAGAAAAACTCGGGAGACAGAGGCAAGTGGATCTCTGTGAGTTCAAAGCCAGCCTGGTCTACCAAGTGAGTTCCAGGAAAGACGCAAAGCTACACAGAGAAACCCTGTCTTGAAAAACCAAAAAATAAAAATAAATAAATAAATAAAAGAAAAACTGTAAAATTCTATTTCTGAAACAAACCCACAGTTACAAAAGTTACAACAGATAGCCAGAAAAACTCTTGACATGCTCAAATACGCAGCCCTTTTTGGGCCAGGGACAGAGAAGGCTCTCCCCACGCTCCTTTGAGGCGGTTCCCACCTTTCACTCTAAGAGAAGCGGCCAGGGCTGTGGGGATGCTCTCCTTTGTGAGTGCGGTTGCCTGATGCGCTACAGATATCCTCCAGAGAAGGTCTGGCCAACCCTGTGTGTACCACCAGGAGTGGCCAGCAATGCTAAGCTGGGAAGACTGCCAGATGAGAGAGAGGTCCCACAAAGGCTACTGGGACTTCCCACATTCTTTTTTATTTTTTAATTAAGAAAATTTTCTATTCATTTTACATACCAATCAAAGATCCCCCTCTTCCTCCTGCCACCCCTCCAGAATCCCCCTCCCATCCCACCCCCCATGACCTCCTATAAGAAGGTAAGGCCTCCCATGGAGAGGTATATTTAGTAGAGGCAAGTTCGAGCCCCTTCCCCTGCCTCAAGGCCGTGGGAGGTGTCCCATCATAGGTAGTGGGCTCCAAAAAGCCTGCTCAACCATACCACAAGAACACATGCTCAACTATGCTCATAGCAGCATTATTCATAATAGCCAGAACCTGGAAACAACCCTCAACTGAAGAATGGATAAAGAAAATGTGGCACATATATACAATGGAGTACTATTCAGCAGTGAAAAACAATGACATCATGAAATTTGCAGAGAAATGGACAGCACTAGAAAATATCATCTTGACTGGGGTAACCCAGATCCAGAAAGACAAACATGAGCTCTCTCCATGTAATTTATGGAAGCAGATGCAGAGATCCACAGCCAAACACCAGGCCGAGCTCCAGGAATTCAGTCGAAGAGAGAAGAGGGATTCTATGAGCAAGTGCATCAAGATCATGATGGGGAATCCTGCAGAGACAACCGAACCAAACTAGTGGGAACTCATGAAATTTAGATCAACAGCTGTGGAGCCTGCATGGGACTGGACTAAGCCCTCTGCATAGCAAAACAGTTGTGCAGCTTGATCTGCCTAAGGGGCCCCTGGCAGTAGGATCAGACTTCCCAGATTCTTAACAGAAGATTCCAGGTGCTGAACAGAGCTCTTCATAGAGTATATGCTATTCACACAGAATGACAAATCATGGCATTGGGCCCCAGGGTCCCGGTCAACAAAGATGGACAGAAGGACTTGGAGGGAAGGAGAGAAAGAACGTGAGAGGGTCAGTATGGGCTGGCCGAGTGAGGCCACCTGCCCACATCAAAGGCAAAGTTCACATGACGTCTCTGGGATTTTATTTTCTATGCCTGTGTCCACATACTGTCACCATCCCTGAGATGCTAATATACCCACGCCAGGTGAGAACCTGGACCTTAGGCCTGGAGGTAGCCAGCCCAAGACCCCTCATAAGGTGACAGGTGGCTTCCTCACCAGCACTCTGGCACAGTCTTTATGAGGCCTGCAGAGCCCTGCATGCCATCTCTCTTGTGTCAGAGGACATAGTCTGGAATCCATAGGGCTAAACTGAGGCAGCTCATGAATGTGGCCAGCATGTGCCAGGGAAGCCTCTTAGCCTCCTTTCTGGGTACCAGCAAGTAGAGAGAGTTTGCTGAACATTTGAGGGAGGTCACTGGGGTCCATCAGGGCGCACTAGCTCTGAACTACTTCCAGTCCATGGCAGAAATGAGCCACATTGTCCAGACTCCTGCCTGGATCTGGAGTCTCTGTTCTGGGACCTTCATCACAGGCTCCTCCTCTTCCTTGTCTCTCCCCTTGCACTTTCTTCATGAGTCTACCCTCTGTTCCTAGAGCACCCTCGGCCATCCTCATCCCTTCCCTTTTCTCTTTTCATAGCTACATATGCGCCCCAATAAAGTTTTTGGTGCCTGCTCCCCAGATTCACTGAATGACACAAACTGAGGAAAAGCATCTTCATTTTCCCAAACCTCAGAGTGAGATGTCAAGCGTGTGTGTGTGTGTGTGTGTGTGTGTGTGTGTGTGTGTGTGTGTGTGTGTGCATGGAGGCCAGAGGAGGGCATAGGCACCCAGCTTTATCACTTTTCACGCTTACGCCCCCAGGACAGGGCCTCCCTCTGAACCTGGTGCTTGCCATTTCAGCAAGGCTGGCTGGCCAGAAGGTCTTGGCGTCCACCTGCCTCCACCCCTCAATGCTTCATAGGCACACACGGCCATCGTCGGCTTTTACACTGGTGCTGGGCATTCAAACACAGGCCCTCATACTTCTAGAGCACATGCTCTTACCCATTGAGCCGCCTGCCCAGCCCCTCAAGCGCTCTGTAACTTGGAATGTTGCCAGAAGAGGTGGTGGAGATGATGCTACCACATCAGAAACAGGAACCCAGCACTCACCTGACGTGTGCTTCTGATCAGTGCCCTCTGCAGACACCCTACTCTGTTCTCTGTACTCATCACCAAGGGTGGTCACAAAACCTGCCACTGGACCTTGTTGCAGGACACACCTGTTAAAACATACACAGAGCACACTTTCGTCTTGTGGTGTTCGGTAATGGCACTTGATTGTATGCTTGGTCCTTTGAGGCAGAAATCAGAGGTTTTGCCATGAAATGGGGGTGTTTTGTACAACCTTGGCTGACGTTCTTCAAGGGCTGTCTACATTGTGTTTTGAAATAGGGTCTTTCTTTAGCTTAGAACTCACCAAGCAGGCTAGGCTGGCGGACCAGTGAGCCCCGGGAATCCTCCTGTCTCCACCTCCCCAGAACTGGGGTTACAAGTGTGAGTGACAACACCACACCTGTGCATTTTATGTGGGCTCTAGGCAAGTGAGCTTGGGTCCTCATAGTTTTTTCTTTTTTTTTTTTTTCTTTTTCTTTTTTCAAGACAGGGTTTCTCTGTGTAGCTTTGCTCCTTTCCTGGAACTTGCTTTGGAGACCAGGCTGGCCTCGAACTCACTGAGATCCACCTGCCTCTGCCTCCCGAGTCCTCATATTTTTAAGGCAAGCACTTTGCTGACTGAGCTAGCTCCCCAGGCCTGGTATGCATGCAGACTCTTGACCTCTCCAGAGCTGAAGCGACTTCCATTGAGAACCATGCACATTCATCTGTACTCAAGAAGATTTCAAATGCATCAAAATAAATGGACAGATTGTCCTCTGGCCTAGACACACACACACACACACATACATACACACACACACACACACACACACACACACACACACACAAACTAGCCATGTGCATCCCAAGGGCTCCACAGGGGCCTTCCGGCCTCTTGGTGAACTTTCTTACAATGGACTCTGCAGGAGAATGGTGGCAAGAAATCAAGAGCTCTTCCTTTTCTGTGCTTTCCTGGAGTTTAGCCCCCACACAGAGATATAAGGGAGTTCTCGTCACCCCTGTCCTCTGGTCTAAGAGGCGTACAAACCCCTTTCTCCTGGAGCTCTGACACACACACACACAAACACACACACACACACACACACACACACACACACACACACACACACACACACACACACACACCGGTGCAGCTTCCTGCACCCACTCCCGAGTCCCTGCCGTGGCTAACAGCCGTGCCCAAGGCAGGGCCCTGGCCTTGCAATCCTGCCTCCTTCCAGGCCATCTTTCTTCAACTCACAGAAAGCTGTTGCATTTCTTCCTGCAGTTTTACCAGGTCCTGTGGCAGGAGGAAACTATGCTCCCATCAAATTGACCCCATGAGAAATAATCTTTGCCCCATTTCTGCCTGGCCTGTGTCCCCAGTCATAGCTCACAGGCTCCAGCACTGGGCCTCATGACAGACACGTGATGCTCAAGGCATTTTACCCCCTTACCAGTGCCACCTAGAGCTGGTACACGTCACCAACAGAGAGCACAGACTTCAAGAGCCATTCTAACCACCACGACCACCACGACCACCCCTTTCCTCAGAAAGCAATTCCTTGTGTCTCACTCACCAGAAATTTCAAAGCTATTATATGAAGGGCAGCCACAGCACCAAACCACTATGTAAAGAATGGGTACCTCCAAACTGAAGACGTGTAATGGCGCGTACACCTGTCCTGATTGTGTGCCTGAGAAGGAGAATGGAGATCTGGTAGGATGAGGCAGGTTGGTACACAAAGCCTGAAGAAGCAGCCTCCCTACACCAGATCTTGTGGTCTTTGAATTTCTATGCTTGTGGAGTTTGAGGAGGAAAACTTCAGCCTCCAGGTCAGACAGAGAGGGCTCACAGAGGGCTATGATGACCTCAGTCTCCATCAGCACCAGACAGGTCCAGACTTTGCCCTTTGGAGCCTGACACCACAGCTCAAGCAAACCTCAAGCTCTGTAGTCACACTACTTTGCTGGCCACTCCTCAGCAGGAAGAATCTGCTATGGTGAGTTCACTGGGATCATCATCTCCTCCCTGCAATGAAACCGCATGCTCTGGGCCACCAGACCTGTTGGCTAGGAGGGGACATTAAGAGTGACAGACACTGGCCTCCGCCATCAGCTCTTGGAGGCATTTGAGGAAAAACACAAATCCTTTGAGCCTCTAAACTCCGGCTCATTTCCCCAAGGGCCAAGAGCATCTCAAGAGGTTTGAATCTTCAGGAAGGCAAGTGTACCAGCCTTGCCCTCCACCCGGTGCCAGCCTGGAGTCACGGAATTAGACATCTGCACTGCCCCTGGCCTCCACATGTACGATGCCCCCGCCCCTCTGTTCTAGCTCCCCAACTCCCTGTTCCTGACAGGATGATGACTGGGAAGAGCGCTGATACCTTTCTTCACCTTGCAGGTGCTGCTGTGGTGGTGACGTGCCGGTACCACAGGAAAGCGGCTCCAATATTGATGTCTTTACCTTCTGACTGAGCTTCTGTGAGTCAAACGGACCATAAAAGTTCTGGGCATTATTTAAAAGGAACTGCGGGAGAGAGCTGCTGTCTGATGGATGAGGGGATGGAAATCTGAAGAGATACAAGGGAAGGCCAAGCCGCAGATGCACGAGGTTAGCAGCAAACCAACATTTGAGCCAGGTGTGCTCAGGCTGGGCACTCTTCACCATCTGCAGCTCACACTCAAGTTCAGCCCAGTGAAGGCAAGCGGAAGTCAAGTAGTTACCATGGAGATGCCAAGTTAGCAGAGCATGCAGGTCAAAGTGTAGAACTTTCTAGTAGATGATAGGCAAAGACAGACAGACAGATAATATATAGTTAGGTAGGTATATAGATGATACATAGATGAAAAAGCAGATGATAGATATATTATTTGATAGATAGATAGATAGATAGATAGATAGATAGATAGATAGATAGATAGATAAAGGAGCATTCCAAAGCTGATCTCAAAATCTGTCTCTGGTATTCTCTTCTAGGCTATTATGGAGATAGATAGATAGATAGATAGATAGATAGATAGATAGATAGATAGATAGATAGATAGATAAAGGAGCATTCCAAAGCTGATCTCACTCCAAGTGGGAAGGCTAAGCCTGTCACCATCATCACCTGGTCACCTGAATGGTTGTCAGAGTCCATACTTACCTCCTTGCCTGGACTTGGAACTCTGTAAGGATAGTTGTGAATTTTTGTCATTCTTGCCTATGGTCTCAATCTACAAGAGATGTGGGTGGGTTATTTGGAAATGATAAATGACAAGAGAGAGGAGGGTGGGGGATGTACAGGTGTGTAAACATGGTTTGACATACTGTTTCTGAAGAGGACTGGAACAGGTTCTTTCCCGGACTTGATCTTTCTGGGTTGAGTCACTGGGGATGGAGGTGCCTCTATTTCAGGAATACACAGCACGATTAAGATGCTTGACTGATAGCTTTGGTTGGGCCTTGGTTCTGGTTTAATTAATAGGTAATTATGGTCTTGTTTGGACTAAAGACAAGCAGTTAGTTAAAGAGACTCAACCAAGGAGCTTCTCTGACTAAGATACACTGAGCATGTGATGCTGGAACCAGAGGGTTCCCCCTGCGCTATCATTGGTCAGGAGGTAGATAGCTTAAGGCTTCTAGATCTCTCTTCCCTAAGGCCATCTCTCCTCGGGATATTGACCACTCTGTTCTGCATATCGAGAACTTGCCTTAAAACAAATTTCCCCCACATGACAGACCACATACACCTGTTTGCCCAAGCTCCTTCCTGTCCTCTGTGCTTGGTGCCCTGAGTCTAAAAAGCACAGTGACAATAAAACAATTTTGCCGCCAGATTTGAAACAAGAGGCGCAAGGATAGATCACAAATCTGAAGATTGCTGATCCCCAACTCAGCATTTATCATTTTGAAGGGAAAACCGTTACTAATTATGATGGATCACCACGTGGTTATTGGCATACAACTTAGCAGGAGCTTGGAATATTGCATGTCAGTGACACAACACAGTTCCCTCCGCTTCTACTGGTTTATGTTAGCAAATATCTAAGAAAACAGGAGTAGATTTGAGATTGGAAGACCACTCCACCCTAGTAATAAATGAGCATAAATTATATGCAAATGTACATCCAAAGGGGGACTGATCCAGCTCACAATCAACATGCTTTTAGCTACTGTCCTTTTCTTACACGGGACTAAGAACTAAGGTAAGATGATACATCAAAAGTGTGTGTGTGTGTGTGTGTGTGTGTGTGTGTGTGTGTGTGTGTGTGTACATGTATATTTATTAGGAGAAACTCCCACCAGGAAAAGAAACTGAAATTCAAGCATCTGGAATATAAGAAATAATATTAAACTTCCAACAGTTAAAGAGCCTGTTTTATGGGGCTAGAGAAGTAGCTCAGAGGTTAAGAGCACTGGCTTTTCTTCCAGAGGTCTTGAGTTCAATTCCTAGCAAACACAGGGCAGCTTACAACCATCTATAATGAGATCTGATGCCCTCTTCTGGTGTGCAGGCATGCATGCAGACAGAACTGTACACATAAAAAGTAAATAAATCTTTTTAAAAAATTAAAAAGCCTGTTTTATGTATTTTTGTTTTGTCTGGTCTTTCACTATTTTTTTCACTATGAAGTCCTGACTGGCCTGGAACTCACTATGTATACCAAGCTTGACTAAGACTATCTGAGATCCCCCTGCTTCTGCCTCCCAAGTGCTGACATTAATATGCTGAGCTTTGTTTTGTTTTTGAGACAGAGTCTTGCTCTGTTGTCTAGGCTGGCCGGAAACCTTTAATACTTCTGCCTTGACAGCCTGAGTACTGGGATTGCAGGGGTACACCAGCACACCAAACTTAAATGTTTTTAAAATAGAAACAGCACATATTAAATTGCTATTGTATTTATACTCCATATAAAACACGCTAGGGGAGTTGCAGTTTTAATTGTAAAAGATCGATATGTGTATCAATGTAACGGAAGCGATCTTGGCAGTTATTTAAACTTATGATGAGAAAAACAGATGCCAGCTTAAAGCTGTGTCAAGTTCCATGATGTTAAAACGTGTGTGCATATGTCGTGTGACTTTTCCTACAGAGGCAAAAAGAAATGTCTGTTCACTTCAGCTAGAGAGAGCATAGACAGCCCAAAGCAAGGATACTATCCAAGTTCATCTTGGTGAGCCCCTGAGTTTACCAGGGTCAGTGGCAGGACCAGGAGAGAACCGCGGGCAGTTTCAGCCAGTGAGCTGTTGACCCCTGGACATCTATCACTCGTGTGTAGGATAAAGACTGTTGCTAGGGTCTAGGTGTTGATTTACCCCTCCCAATCACGAATTGTCACTTGACACCAATGTGATGCCTTCAAGAAGTGGGAGGTGGGGGAAGTAGTTAAGTCCTGAGGACTCCGCATTCATAGATGGTGGGGTTCCCCTGTGAGAGGAGTTTAAGGACTACCCCTTAAAGACACGGAGAAGGGCCATTCATAAAGCACAGCCGGCTGCCTCAACTCCCCCAGAAGATTTCTGCTGGATGTTTGTAAACCACTGATTTGATGATGTTTTGCTATGTTTCTACTGCTGCCATCAGCTGCCTACAATTATGCTTTTACTTTTGCTAGCTCTACATTTAATAAGCTTATTCATCCAAAACCAAAAGCACAGCTATGATAAATCCTTCTCTGGACCACACAGAGCATCCCCTCATTTCTCTAACATTTAGGGGTCACATGGCTTTCATAATGTAAGAGCCCTGAAGGTAGGCAACCTTCCTAACTGCTCACTGTCGGTGACTGTCCGTGCTGCTGGTGTGGCTGTAGTGAGTCTTTGGTGAAATGTTCAGGTAACCCTTTCTCCCATGCTCCTAAGACATCTTTATATATCCCACTACCTTTCCATTCATTAAGCCAGACCTCGTTTCCAGAGAAGGGGGTGTCACAGAAGAAATGGGGAAAATGTAAAATGATACGTTGAAAAGAAGCAGTCATACCATAATCTCAGTTGCTTCTCTAAAGTTATGCAGAATGAAGCCCCAGCTGTGAAGACGGATTAGCGAAACGGACAAGTCATACTTAGAGGCACGAAAACAATGACTTCATCTTCCATATGACTAAGTTTTGTTTTTTTTTTTTTTTTTACTTTTGATAAAACAATACAATTAACACCCAGATTTCTAATTTTGTTTGTTTTGACACAGGCTCAAGATGTGCATCCTAGACTGGCCAATATCATAAGATCGCCTGCCTCAGCCTCCCAAGTACTCCCTTTGCAACATCACAAACGACTTTGGTTTATTTAAAAGCCTTAGATTTTTAAAAGTGTAACATAAAATCTAGCATGTCATTATTAATTTCATCTCTGGCTTCCTTGTGTTTGATTGGATTGGATTGGATTGGATTGGATTGGATTGGATTGGATTGGATTGGATTGGATTGGATTGGATTGGATTGGATTGGATTGAATTGGGACACATCATCACTATGTAGCCCAGGCTAGCCTTGAGCTAGCACTCATCCTTCTTCAGCCACTACAGTGCCAGAATTGCAGCTACTTGCCACCACTTCTGACTCTATTCCTGTTTTTTATGTTTTTGTTGTTTTGTTTGGTTGGTTGGTTAGTTGTGTTTTTATTTGTTTTATTTTGCTTTTTAACCATAGATAGCATAACCATTTATATGACTCTACTTCCAAAGGCCAGACTATGATAGCAAACTTACTGCTCAGACTGTGACAGATTTCTCTATGAGAATGATCAAGAAATCAACACCTAGAAATCCCCAGAAGACATCAAAGTGACGACAGGTTACAGAGAAAGTGGGACACACGGCCAGCTGAAAAGCTGAGCTGAGCCTTGGCAGAGGCAGGCTCCTACAGACAGTCCCAGTCTAAATAACGTCTCCAAAGTCTACAAGTGGAGGTAGAGGCAGAGGTGGAAATAGGGATGTGGGGAGACAGACAGGTGTAGATAGAGTGGGTGGTGCCGGGCTTGATTAGACCCAATGTAGGCTAGCTACAAATAGAGATGTGAGTGTTTAATGGTCCTGTTCGGCTTCGTGCTTGCTGGATTGTATATTATAAAACATTTCCTTCCTCCTTGCTTGATTCATGTGTGAATAGCAAACACCCCCATGCTCACCAAAAGTGCCAAGAATTATCTAATGCGATTAAAAAGAAGTCAAGAATCCCTGGAACATCACACCTGACGCTCTGAGTTATTGGTCTCTTAAACGTCCATAACCCAGCCCATCAGCGAGAGCCTTTATTTACCCTTAAGGCACTTGGCAGCTGCTAAATGCCTGTCTGTGGCAGTTTGGTGGAGACAATAATAATACATTATAAATCAATGAAAATGAAGTTTTTGCTGTGATAATCTCATAGAGATTTGCCGGCGTTTGTATGAAATTCAATTCTGTTTGATTGCATCAGCATATGCTTCATAGCGCTTCCTGCACTATTGATTTTGAAGGTTCTTATCCATATGTCTAAATTATTTCTATTACATCTTTGCATTACTGTTTAGAAATAACCTAGGTAAACGGAAGCCATTTCTTCCGTTTTCAGTCACATTTTCTTCTGGCTCACTCTGGTTCAATGCTCAGGTTGTGTTTTGAATGGAAAGAAATGTCTTTCTTAAAAGTCCTCCTTTCTATAGCCAACAGCTAATATCACCCTATAATTGCAACGTGCCAATTTCCCTTTATAAAACATTTATTGTTGTCTTTGTTGTTATTATTTTCACTGTTATCATTTTCTGAGTGCCTAGAACTGTTAGGAAAGGTCGTCTCTTCAAATACCGCTGCAAGTGATTTCAGAATTTACAGCCACATATTCATCTTCTTTGAAAACAGTGAAAAAGTATGTATAGCACTGAGGACAATTGGGACATGGAAATAATGATTTCCATCATGGATCAGAAGGGAAAGGAAGCCAAGAGGACCTTGAACTCTACTGAGTGTCTGGTGGCTCCCAGGTGCCTCTTCTGCTCTGTGGGAGCAACATCTTTGAGTAGACCATGCAAGCTCAGTAGTGCCCACTTCCAGGTACAGTAGCAGAGCCCTAGATCCCTCTGACTCACTGGGCCACTGTCCCTCTCTCGGAAGGCCAGTCTCTTTCCATTCAGAGATTCAAATCCACGTGACCCTGTGAGATGGGAACATGTGGGGAAAGGGAAAGTTAATAGAGTCACTTAATGAGGCTTCCCTGCTTAAGAATGGAATTGATTTCTGAAAGAAAAAAAAAAGCTCCAAGAAGTTAGCCTGCCATCTGGCCTTAAATATTTGAACCTCCTGTGTTTCAAGAATGCAAGACGGTCACTTACCCAAGCAAGAACACTGTGCCCCAAACTAGCCTGAAATTCTGTACAAATCATGTCACATGATGCAAAGAAAGCAATGGGTGTTGACTTTTAAGAGAATAAACCACAATATTTTTAAAATGCATATAGGCCTGCCTAGACTCCCAAGTTGAGGAGGCTGTCTGCCCTTATAGCAAATCTCAACATTTCTACCACGCTTTACATTTTCAGAAAATTAGCATCATATAAATTGACCTAAAACACTCGTTATTATCTTCTCTGAGGTCATTTTAGCTATAAGTGAAAATAGGTAGTCCACCGTCAATTCTTAACATATTCAGTATAAAGAGTTAATTTGTTTTCATTTCATTCCTATTGCATAACCCTTCCTTTTTGTCTTTAAGTAAGTACTCTAACAGGAAATCAAATCAAATCAAACACAAACACAGTTGACAAGTGGATGTGTGTCCTCCTGCCTCTACACGGCAGAAGAGTAGTCAGAGCCAGGTCTCCGTGGAGGGACGCCAGAGAAAAGACAGGCAAAGGGTGCGGAACAATGGACAGAGCCCCAAGAGGCCTGAGTCCAGCATGGCCTCTGAGCAATTCAGAGGCTATGGTGGCAGATGGTAGTCTTCTGTTCCTATGCATCCCCAGGGACCGGACAAACAAGGTCCCTGAGGAATGTGTGGTGGGCCAAAGCTTTTTCCCCTGAGCATCTCTGAGCTCTGTGGCTAAGCTGGAAGCATCGGAAGGCACACGGGTATCCAAGCACACATTGCTGTGAGGCCAGTCCTTCCTCTGCACGCCAGGATGATGATCTGAGAGAGTTGGGCTGGGGTGACTCCCCTTAATGTCACCTGAGGGTTAGACATCAATTTCTTAGTAAGACAAAGAGATTTGGTAACCGCACTTTTAAAATGCAGCGTGAAGTTATCCAACTGAAATATCATTTAAATCAAATCCATGCATACATCTATATATACATAGGCACCTTCTGCAAGTCCTTTCCAGGAATTACCTGTGGTTCCCTTCGTTGACTCTTAATAGCAGAAGGTATGGCTTTAAGACTAGAGATACCATTTTAAAAAGCAAAAATATCAGATTCTAGCATAAGGGGTAAAGCTTTCCAGTGCTTACTTATACCATGGCAAACAATAGCTGTCCTTATCCTACAGAAAGGTGTCAGCCCTACAGGTGTTAACACAGTCCTAGCTTTGAGTCTAACCTGTGCCACTTCTGGTTCAGCTTCATGCTTTACCAAAACCTTTTCAAAGACTTTTACACGGTGATTTTACACATCATTTTCACACTCAACTACATTCAATTTGTTCATGCGATAAATATTTGCCAAAGAGCCTCCCTGGGGATGTCACAGATATGCTAAAGATGACAGAGTGAAGCAAAGGAGGATCAGTGGGCAAAAGCCGGTGTCCTGCACGGCACAGCTCATGGTATCACTTTTACAAAATGTTCATGGCTGAACCACTGCAAAAGGGAGCATTTCCAGATATGTGGAAAGGCCAGGGCTCCCGCCCTAGAAAATCAGCAAGCTGGTAAATGCCAGGCTCCAAAATGCTTTTCATTCTCTGGGACCTGGAGCCACCTAGACTTGACTCCCTGTTGACAAGCCCTATATTTTTGCGCTCTAAAATTAACCTTAGCATTTTGGTCACACACGGACACATGCAATGTCTTTGGCGGTGACACTGGATAAAAAGACGGCATCTGGACTTTCTGAAGAAAGGACCATAACACAGATAGACCTACCTTTCCTGCCCCTCTCTAGTCTCCAGTGCTACCCAAGCAGTCTCCCAGTGAGCTAGGACCCAGCCAGCCTTGGAGTTTTGACTTCCATTTGGGTCAGCATCAAAACATTTAAAAGTGAAAGTGAGGGGGCCGTGCACACGTGAACACGCTAATGTTAGTGCTCTTTCACTAGGTTAACAGCCCTTTGTCTCTCTCTCTCTGTAGCGGCCAGAATATGGCGGGGTTTTCAAGACTGCATAGCTGACTTCTGTTGTCAGACTCCCTCCCAAAGCCAGGCTCCACTGTTTGAGGCCCTCCCGAGTTCAAGAGACATTTATCATCCTATGGGGAGAGCTTCTTTGGGAGGCCACGTCTAAGGAACACCAAGTCTCCTCACTCTGTTCTCACCGCATGCCTAGCTGGCAGTCTGCCCCTTCCTGCCCACAGACTTCCGCTCCTCCATCCACGGAGCCAGGTCTCGCACTTCTCATTGTCTGGTGCTGTGAGGTTGTTTTTCTGGGAAGTCATTTGAACGTAATCTATTTCCCATTCACGGTTTGCCTCATGCTTTGCAGCTCGCATTGGACCGCTGAACTGTAAGGGGAAACTGAGAGCACACGCCTCATCTTCTGGCCCGTGGCAAGCAGGTGGTGCTGATGTGTTCCTAAAAGCCAGTAGCAGAATGTCACATGACAAAGCTCATGACTGAGCCAGGACCAGGGTACATTTCTCTATCTGAGCCCAGTGGACAGTCCTCAGCTGGAAACGTCTATGTACACATGTGCACCCCTTCACTAAAAAAAAAAAAAAAAAAAAAAAAAAAAAAAAAAAAAAAAAAAAAAAGTGAAAGTTGCTGCAAAAAGCCGAGCAATAAAAACCCATTCCCACCAAAAGAGAGATCATATGAAAACAGCACTAATGTACCTCAATGTTTTGTCAGATCTTGTTACACTTTGAAGAACACACAACAGTGACTGAGAGACCTTCACATGACAGGTAACGGTAACCCTGCCCTTCAGTCTGCATGTACTGAGGAGGATCGGGTCTCAGTCTTTTCCAGCCCTGATGAATTCCCTGAGACTGACCACACATGCACACCATGCCACCCCAACATGGGGAGGGCTGGGGCCAGCTGCTGTGGGCACATTCAGAAGCGTGGTCTCTGGGGCACTGAGAGGGAGACGCCTGGGGTTCGCTGATGGTGATGACGGTTGCGGTCACTGGGCGGTGGGTAAGGACTGGCTTGTGCCGAGGAAGAGGAGCGCAGGACAACGGTCTGGGTCCCCACTCTGCAGCACCATCCCGGCCCTTGCAGTAAAAGAAGGTGCAGGTGGGGTCTGCAGCCTCACGAAGGTGCAGGTGGGTCTGCAGCCTCACGCGTGCTTTCTTCAACCTGGGCTTTTTCCCGTTTTCCACCTGTGCTCCCTGGCTCTCTGGGCTGCCTCTTTCTCCTTTTTCAATCTTTCTCATCTCGCCCTTCCATTGTTATTCACCCCATTTATTGCTTCAAGCAACCCTGACATAGTGGACGTCATCTGAAACCACAAACGACAGGATGCAATAAGCTGGAGAATAGCGCAATCTGGGGAAAAGTTCTTCATTCACTCTTGCTCCTAACTCTCTGTCTTCTTATCCTACATAGAAAATAAAAAAATCAATACCACCTCACAGGGCTTGATAAAAGCACCGGCCGAGTACAGCAGGCATGCTGGATATAGTAAATTAAAGTGATCAAAATTTTCCAGTCGACTCTGCCTGTAGCCTACATAAACTAACAGCCCTGTCTGCCCAGTGTCCATCAGCTGGAAGCTTTATTTTATCTGGGCCTCTGATTATCTGGGGAATGAATACATATACCTGCCTGGGCCTGAGAGTCTCAATCTCGGTGGGAGAATAAGTGTGGCCACGGATGGATTGCAGGGGCGAGGTGAAGGGGGCAAGCACCTGTCTTCATAGCCAAGCAGATGCACTCACAAGCAATATGCAGACAAGAATACCTGTGTGCTTAAGCTTAGAGTGAGCACAGGGTGCGGGCCTGCAAGCCAGTCCTCAGCTCTGACCCCTCATGGGTGGCACAACCTTAAGAGAGTGCCTGACTCAATCAGCCAAGAGTCTCCACCTTCAAAACAGCAATTACAGCTACAGCTCAAGCAAAGAAAGATGCTGCAAACCTTAGCCTGAGAATTCCAGACCTGTCCATAACAGCGTCTTTGCAAACACAACTGACAGAGTTACTTTCTTCCGATTTGGGAGCAGTCAAACAAAGTGCTTGCACACGTGCACGCCATAAGACACTGAAATATTGGGAGATCATTTTCCATCTAATTAGACAGGCATTCAGGGTGCATATTCCTGATAGACTAAATTATGAAAAGAGTTCCATTTTAACAGCAGCTTTTCCAATACAACTTACTAATACAGAACAGGCATTACAGTTAGCTTAGAGCAAGATTCATACTAGCCTGGCTCAAACCCACCAGGCTGCCTGCAGCAAGAGATAGAGCAGCTCTGCTCTCCGGGATGACAGCTGAGAAATCACAGACAACTCCAGCAGAAGCCCAGGTCCTCCCGTCAGACCCGTGACCCTTGCTAGGTGACTGACATTTGTCCAGCCTTGGAAATGAACTCAAGCTTTCCACCAACCATCAGAGAAATAAAGGAGGAATTGAATCCCCAAGCCAAGCAACATGCCAGGCCAGCCATAGGACAGCCAGGAGTGCAAGCAGAGAGCCAGAGGCCAGACACGGACCCCCAGCAAAGCCCACCTGACCGCAAACACGCTTTCGGGTCCAGACGCATCCCAAACTGTCTGAGATAAAGAACTAAACTTGAGGGATGGAGAGGTAGTTCAGTCGGCAAAGTGTTGGCCTGGCAGGCATGGGGACCTGAGTTCCACCCCCAGCACCCGTATAAAGGAGAGCCAGGCATAGACACTTGTAATCCCAGCTCTAGGAAATGAGAGATAAGAGGGTTCCATCCAGCCTAGCCCACTTGGCAAGTTCCAGACCAGTGAAAGACCCTGTCTCAAAAGAAAAAAAAAAAACCACTGTAGAGGAATGGCACCCAAGCTGTCCCACACTTGACACCAACTGTGGCCCGCACTTGCGTGAGCACCCACTCACACCCACACACATACAAATATCCACATAAAAAGAACTAAATTCAAGATCTTGCCAACCTCCTCACCTGAGCAGTGAGTACTGTTAGTCCATTAGGAGTGCTACATAATAAAAACTGTAGCTGTGGCCAGTGACCTTGAGTGTCTGCCCAGGTGGCACTCAGGGTTAGAGATATTCTGGGGGGCTAGGAGAAGTGGCAGGGATGAGGCCAGAGCAAGGCTAGCGCTTCAAGTGCAGCTCTTTCGCTCTCTGGGAGGACGTTCTCTAAGCCTTGGTCTTCTCAGAGGTAAATTTGGGACGATCAAAGCGTCAAAGTGGTCAGACCACAGGCTGGAGAAAGCCGGAAAGACAGTAAGTCCTGCACTCAGAAAACAGCAGGGCGAAGGGACCTTGAAGACCTTCTCCTTGAAGACCACGGTTGCTTCCAGACTCAGGTATATATGCAGAGAAATGGGAAAAGTGGACCGGATCCTGGGCAAGATCGTGGCTGTCAATGTGGGTCACAATGAGCTTTAAACACACACATCTTTGTCGCAGGAATCTTAAAAGTTCTTATTAATAAAATCAAACCCAAGGCCAGTTATTGGGGTGAATACTGGAAAGTCAGGGAGACAGAACAAGCCACAGCTATGTCACCTCACCAGTTCCTCAGCTGGTCCTGTTTCCTCAGACTGGAAGCCTCTGAGTCCTCATCCAGAATGAATCCCAGCTGAACTGTGCTGCTTCAAAGCCTGAAAGCTTAACCAGCCAAATGCTTAGCCAGCCAAATGCTTCTAGTTTCTGGTCCTCACGCCTTATATACCTTTTGCTTTCTACCATCACTCCCTAGGATTAAAGGCTTGCTTCCTGGGATTAAAGGCGTGAGTCACCAAGCCTGGCTGTTTCCAATGTGGCCTTGAACTCAGAGATCCCAGATGGATTTCCGCCTCTGGAATGCTAGGATTAAAGGCGTGTGCTATCACTGCCTAACTAGTGGCTTTTCTCTTCTCTGACCCCAGGTAAGTTTATTAAGGTACACAATATTTTGGGGAACACAATACCACCACACATCTTATTCTGAAGATTCTCAAATCAACATCAAGGTAGACAGATTAAGGCAATGAAGCCCACACACCGATCACCTGACCTTGACAGTTGTCAGCACACATGGCACACATGTATCACATGTGTTCCTATCCCCCACCTTATCTTCTTAGAGCAAATCTCCACTGAAAACATCTCCTTTATAACAAAAATCGTATCATTGTTGCCCATTTAAAATTATCCCTATTATAAAGCATCCTTAATTGTCTAATAAATACCTTTTTTATTCTCAGTTTATCCAAGTCATTGATACCTTTTCCAAAAGACCAAGTCCAGAGAGGTGACAGGGCTGAGCCTGCCCACAGGTAGAAGAGGCAGTTCACACTGTGACTTGCTTCTGCTACAAAGGCTTGTCTGTCACTGAAGTGTCTCTTCTTGCAGCCCATGACCTTACCTGTGTCTCTGTTCTCTGGAGCATCCCTCTCACTGGACATCATTACCAGGAGTCCCCATCCTTGCCATGGCCCTAGGCTTCAGCACTGGAAGACATAGTTGATTGTGTTACTCACATCTCCCCTCAACATCCCAGGCTCCACAGCAGAATGTTGGTTTCCAGAGACTCCCAGGTAGCACAGGGTCTTGTCACCTTCAAGTGGCCTTAGCATAACAAACAGCCATCTCTTCAGCCCAAACAGAGATAACAAGGCAAGCTATGTGCTCTGGTCCTTCCCACCTATGGACAAGCTTGGCAGGCACAGCTTCATCCTGTCCCAGGTCTGACCTGCGTGTCTTCTTAAGTAGAAAAAAACAGATAGGTTCTCCCAACATGGATAGGAGAAATAAAGAAAAGTCTGAACACATCTCCTTGTTGTACCCAGAGTAAAGGTGCAATCAGGAGCTCGCCCTGCCTCCAATTTACGTGGAATCTCTGCAAATCTGGAAGAGGTAACTTGTGCACGTGTTTGTTGGTCTTTTCTCCCCAAGCTGTTCACAGTTGTAAATTTGGTTTTGTCACAGAAAGACCATAACATAAACAGCTCAACCTACAGTCACGTGCACAATTCATATGTACAATGCTATCAACGTCATTGGATTTCGCACCTCAGTCTCAAGGCCCTATGATTCCAGGGCCTATTTCCCCTGTGACTGCTCAAAATTCTTGCTTGTGATTCTGATTGTGCATATCCCAAGTTTGTTCCACATCAGTGGAGATGAGTTGTGGGGGCAAGACTCACAATATAAAGATCCTGCAGATGTCAGGGTTTACCCACATGCCAGCTGATGGTACATCCCAGTTGACATCATCACACATCTTCCTGGCTTAGACAGTGGGACCAGGAAAGGAACAGCAGGTTCTGTAGGGCGTGGCACAGGCTGCTGCTTCTCTCTCTCTCATAAGTAGTATCGCCCCTTTGCTTTCCATGGGAGAGAAAAAGTCTCATCATAATTATATGAGTATTATTTTGATCTGAGTATCACAAAAAATAAATAAAAAGTTCCCTTTAAGTCAAACAAAAGGTCATTCCTTCCACTCTAACACACAGATATCCAAAGACCTTGGTTTCCAATCACTCTCTCATTTAGCACTGTCTGGGTCACTTAAGAAAAAGGAAGCCCATTTGAGATGGAAAGGTCCAGTCTGCAGCTACTTGATGGTGAGATGAAGACAATTTTCATCAGGCTTAATCCTCTGAATGAAATAAAATCTCTAGCTTGAGAAATTTCTATCTACTGATTTATAGGACTAGAGGGGAGTAGACTCCAAATATCTTAGGGGCATAGGGCACTTTATGGTGACAATTTGACACTAATAAGAGAAAGCCTCCAAATGTTCTAAGTCAGCACAAGAGATTCAGGAGCATCTGGCAGGAAAAGGGGAGGTTGATCCCCCAAGGAACCGCATCTCATCTTCCCAGGCTGAGGCTACAATTACGACCCTTTAAAAAGCCAGGCGTGGTGGTGGTGGAATGTGCCTGTGATCCCTGAACACAGGAAGCTTGAGCATGAGGACCACTTCTTGTTTGAGGCCAGTCTAGGCTATATAGTGACTTCAAGGTCTAATAGTGATATATAGTGAGCCAGGCCTATATAGACAGACCTTGTCTCAAAACTACTACTACTTAATACTAATAATGATAGATATATAGGTGATAGATGATAGATAGACACATAGACAGATAGAGGGACAGATGATTGATAGATAGATAGATAGACAGACAGATAGATAGATAGATAGATAGATACATACATACATACATACATACATACATACATACATTCATACATGGATGGATGGATGGATGGATGGATGGATGGATGGATGGATGGATGGATGGATGGATAAATGGATGGATGGATGAATGGATATATAAATGGATACATAGATAGATAGATAGATAGATAGATAGATAGATAGATAGATAGATAGATAGATAGATAGATAGATGATAAAGCACGCTAGCCCAGAACACCATCACATGACTGAGAGGCTCAGAGAACCAACTCTAACCGTGACCTGCAAAGGTAAGTTTCTCCCTTTTAAATAAAAGATTATGGCACATCCAGAAAGGAACATGTAGCTGAAAACCTTTTCACTATTTCAGGTGTTTTTGTTCCTTGTTTTTGTCTAGAGGCAGGGTCTTATGTACCAAAGCCTAGTCTCGAACTCACTATATAGCCGAGAAGAGCCTTGATCCTCCTTCCACCTCCCTTGGGCTAGTACTGCAGCCATGAGCCATCATGCCTGGTTTACCAGCCTTTCCCTTGGCCAGCACTGAGGCCATTCCGGTATCATTCAGTATTCTCCAGGCAGGCTCATTGTTCTCGGCAACAGCACTTCATGGAGCTCCTCTTTCTGCTTGTTCTGTCATTACTCTACCACAGGGGCATCTTGGAGCACACCCTGTGCTTGCTTGATTATTTTCTTAGGATAAAATAGAAAGAGAGAATTATTAGGTCAAAATTCAGGACTGCCTCAGCTTTGGATTCCATGTGGCATGGGAATTCTACTCCACATCATCTGCTGCATCAGTCAGAGTCCCCAGCCTAAAACCTTCCAAGCAAGCTGGAAGGGTCAGAACCCTTGGATGATGCTCAAGGACACATATACGACCATGGCCTCCATCAAGCAATAGCTTCGATTTTATCTCCTCAGCCCATAGACTTTAATTTTTTCCTCCCCTTCACAGCTATGGACCACAGCCTGGGACTCAAAGAAATCCCTGAGCAGACAGTGACTGTCAGAAGTGAACTGAAACTCAAACTGGGGTGCTGGATCCCCAGGAGCCATAAGTCCCTCCATTGCCACATCTGCTTATCCACACGATGCCTCCATACTCACACCCAGCTTTAGAGACTCTGTTCTCCACTGGAAAGCCACTCTCTTGGTCTTTTTAGCTTCCACCTTTCAAAAATCTTCAACAATATCTTCACATACAGCACTGTGCTTGGATACCCCAGGAACCAAGATTCCTCAACACCTCCCTTCAAGATAGAACTCCCATGTTTCCATTCGTTTGGCTATTTGTCCCTGTGCTTTATCCAATCTTGGTCTCAACAATTCTCGCTCATATAAACCCTCCTCTTTCTCACTAATTGGACTCCCGGCGCTCCACCCAGGGCCTAGCCGTGGATGTCTGCATACAGATCCCTCGGTCATTGGATGGGGTTTCTAGCACAATAATTAAGGTTTTTGGCCATCCCATCACCAGAGTAGGTCAGTTCGGGCTGTCTCTAGACCATTGCCAGCAGTCTATTGTGGGGGTATCTTTGTGGATTTCTGTGGGCCTCTCTAGCACTTTGCTTCTCCCTTTTCTCATGTGGTCTTCATTTATCGTGGTCTCCTATTCCTTGTTCTCCCTCTCTGTTCTTGATCCAGCTGGGATCTCCCGCTCCCCCAAGCTCTATTTCCCTTGACCCTCACCCTTCATTACCCCCACTCATGTCCAGGCTGTTCATGTAGATCTCATCCATTTCTCCGTCATTGGGCGATCCCTGTGTCTTTCTTGGGGTCCTGTTTTCCAGGTAGCCTCCCTGGTGACGTGAGTAGCAGTCCAGTCATCCTTGTTCCACATCTAGTATTCTCCTATGAGTGAGTACATACAATGTTTGTCTTTCTGAGTCTGGGTTACCTCACTCAGGATGATTTTTTCTAGATCCATCCATTTGCCTGCAAACCTCATGATGTCATTGTTTTTCTCTGCTGAGTAGTATTCCATTGTGTATATGTACCACATTTTATTTAACCATTCTTCAGTTGAAGGGCATCTAGGTTGTTTCCAGGTTCTGGCTATTACAATGCTGATATGAACATAGCTGAGCAAGTGCTCTTGTGGTATGATTGAGCATTCCTTGGGTATATGCCCAAGAGTGGTATTGCTGGATCTTGGGGGAGATTGAGTGCCAATTTTCTAAGAAAGCACCATATTGATCAGGCCCTCTGAATGGGTGAGACAGTTGATTGGCTTGATCTGTTTGGGAGGCATCCAGGCAGTGGGACCAGGTCCTGTGCTCATTGCATGAGTTAGCTGTTTGAAACCTGGGGCTTATGCAGGGTCGTTTGTCTCGGCCTGGGAGGAGGGGACTGGACCTGCCTGGACTGAGTCTACTAGGTTGATCTCAGTCCTCGGGGGAGGCTTTGCCCTGGAGGGGGTTGGGCTAGGGGGGAAGGGTGGGGGGCAGGAGGGGGAGAACAAGGGAATCCGTGGCTGATATGTAGAACTGAATTGTATTGTAAAATAAAATTAAAAAAAAAAAAAAAAAAGAACTCCCAAAATACTCTTTCTCTTTTGACACCAAAGCCATAGGACACGATGAGGATCCTCTCCGGGTGTTTTCAATGTGTCCTCCTACTGACACCAGCTGGCCCCAGATTCAAACTCCATGAGCTGTGAGATCTGGAGAAAGAGGATGCCTGACCCATGTGGCCAGCAGGCTCCACCCTGATGCCTGGAGACACAGACAGCTGGCTCTTCTTGCAAGACCCAACCTGGTGTCGCCTGAAGACTTGATTAGCTGGCTAGGGAGACATGCATGCTGACTCAACACTTCCAGGGAGGCCACACATGGTTTGCATGCCAGGGGAGACGTGACATCAGCCAGAAAGTAAACAGAAAGAGGGTGGCTGGCTGAAACACTAAGGCCTGCCTACTTTCCATTTGCCCCGGAGGCAAGGCACTTTCTCTTACTGTTTCCTCCCAAGTCTCCAAACACAAACACTCCATCTTCCCTGCTCATTTTCTGATTGGTTTGAAGGAAGGGATAGAAATGGAAAACTTTCTCCGTGATAAAAATGCCTGGCAAATGTCAGGATGGAGACACCCAGAGAGGAGCTGTTTCCTCGTGGGCCTGTTTGTAAACTTGTGGTTCACAGGACAATTGTAGGAGGCAAGCGGGCTAGTGGCTGAGTGGGCCACAAGCCATTGACCAGGCCTGAGGAAACAGTCCATGAGTGGGAAGACAGGCAACAGAGCTCTCCCATTCAGAGATTTGGAGAGGGAAATCCCCAGTCATGTATTTATAGTTTCAGATTTAATAGCCTTCACCACTCCTATATCAAGGGAATTGCCAGAAATTAAAATGATTCCTGAAATCAATGTAGACCCCCCCCTCAACATTAAAATTATTTTTAAACATGCTCTCATTGAGGGAGAATTTCATCCCAAACTACAATTAACAAGGCTGGGGAATGTGGCAGCCATCACGAGAGATGCTCATTCACAGTCTCTGGTTCCCATCCAGCAGCAAAGAGCCCGGTCTGTTTCCGCAAGCTACCAAGTCCCCCATGGGTCTGCTTGAGCCAGCAACTGGGCTGGAAGGCTGCGGCCGCTCTACGCCCTCCCTCCCAGCAAACAGCCCACGACAGTCTCTTTTTGGCTCAATCTGTTTCTCCCTCTTGTCTGATATTTTCAAGGGTTTTTAATCACGACTCCAGCAGATTGATCAATGACAGATATGAGCAACAACTTTTGCATGCTAACGGTGCTGGATTTTTTATCTGAGAAAATATTTCTCTCCTAAAAAGCCTCTGCAGGGCTGTGTATTAATTAAAATCTAAATACTAAATATTGATTGATGCGTTATCAGGCCATAGCAGTTGGGCCCTGCCACATTGATTTTTTGCTGTGATTTATTATCATATTTAAGAAAAATCATTTTGTGTGATTATACGAGGAAATAGACTTTAGTGAGGGTGTAATTCTTTTGTATCACTTTTGTTGTGTGGAGGACGGGCCAATTCCTCAATCGGGGCTGAGATTGCTGATATCCTTCACCGCCTCCTCACTGTGGCCTCAGCAGCTTGCGCGTTAAGCCTGCTTGGTCTTGTCATTAGGAATAATGGGTGCTAGTATTAGGTCCTTAATCACAACTGAGATTAACAGATGGATGAGCCTAAGTTCTTAAAATTATCTAGTTATTAACAAGTATTTCTTTTTATCACATTAATGACATTGTTGCAGGGGACTTTTCTTCTCTCACACAAGAATTGAAGCAAAACCTGGAACAATGTCCTGGCTGGCCCCGCGTGTGACAATTAGTTAATCTTCTCTTTTAGTGCAAACGGCTCTGTATAGTGGCAAATATCTGGCTGTGAGGACAGACAGAGTGTCTATAGGGATAGGCCAGGGATTTGTTGAGGAACCCACCTGGATTTGTATAAACAACTTGTAGCTGATCAACTGGAACCATTCAGGAAAAAGGGAGGACTGGTTACCGGAATGTTACCACTCACCTTATCCCTCCAAGAATTCAGAGAGGGCAGGTGTTGATAATGGTTCCTCTTCTGGATTCTTGTTGGAGTAGTAACAACACCATGGTCACTGACAGGTTGTTTCAAGTCTAAATATTCCTCACATTTTATTTTCTACTTATTTTATATAATCTTGAGATATTAAATTTACTTTTGTAATATACTGAATGCCAGTGTCTTCTCAGTTACCATCTCACACACAAAAAAATAAAACAAATATGCAGCCTTTTACTCCCTATCTGTAGGGTACTTGTATAGATGATCCGTGTGTGTGTGTGTGTGTGTGTGTGTGTGTGTGTACATGATGTTTATGTGTGTATAGTATGTGTATGCTCACGTTTGTGTGTACAGGTATGTGTACACATGTGTGAGCATACCTGTGGAGGCCAGAGATCAATGTCATGAGATGGGGTCTCTCACTGAACCCAGAACTCACGGTGGGCTAGACTGGCTAGCGGGGGAGCTCGAAGAGCCACCTGTCTCTGCCTAGGATTACAAACGCATGCTTCCACACCTGGCTTTTCACTGGGTGCTGAGGATCTGAACTCCGGTCCCCATGATTGCATGGCAGGCCTTTTGCCAACTAGCCATTTCCCCACCCCACCCCACCCCCCAGTGAATGATTCTTTAAGGAACTATAAGGAGTTTCCACAATAATCCTTTTTCCAGATTCACCGAAGTATTTTTTCATCCCTGGCCACCTTTACATTCATAGAATGCCAGTGCTCACAGCCGGCAGCAGCTCACTCCAATGGCCATGGCCCTCATGACAAGCAAGCTGCTCTGCCCAGCACAGAACCCATAAGAATCATGGCTATCCTGGGTTCCAGGGGGATCTCAGCAGTGGGGTTAAAAGAGATTAGCACTTCTTAGAGAGAGAGAAAAATAGACCACTCCATTATTATTAAATTGAAGATTTTTAAAAATCTGTACTTTGGGGGAAGACAAATTAAGATATATATATATATATATATATATATATATATATAGATAGATAGATAGATAGATAGATATAGATATAGATATAGATATATATGTATATATACATACATATATGCTCTAATCTTGCATGTACTTCTTATTTTACATTATTATTGACCAATTCTCATATTTAAGGAAGGAAAGGAAAGAAGGAAGGGGGAATGGAGGGAGGGAGGGAGGGAAGGAAGGAGGGAGTGGGAGGGAGGCATGGAGGGAGGAAAAAAGGAAGGAAGAAAAGAGAAAAGAAAGGGAGAGAGAGAGAGAGAGAGCAGGTGGATGGTTCTGGAAAGACCAGCAGCTCTATGACAGGAACAACAGAGGTGAGGTTGTTGGCCACACAATTGTGCATTTTATGGATGTCCCCAAAAATGAATTCTAAGTCAGGGCTCCTATATCAGACAGAGAAGGAGAGCCTGAAGCCAAATTTGTGGAAATTATTTTATAGGAAAAACACTAAACCTACCCATAAAACCCTTTCCATCCCTTGCTGTATGGGGTTGAATCATGAAACCAAGCAATCGCAATGATCCCGCACTGGCCCTGTAGCCCATGGTCTCCACTTGATGGTAAGGGACAGTGGGACAGTGGGGGACGCCTTCAGTGGCCTCCCACCAGTTCCTCTGCTTCTCTGTGTTGTTGAACACCACAGGCACCATTAAAATCGTGGTCTCACTGTTCTAAGACTCTTGACCCAAAAAGGGCTCCTCTAAAATAAAGCACACGTTGCCGCTCCTAGCTGTGAGGGTCATTCACATTGCACCTTATATTTAGGAGAATCTCATTGCTGAAATTTCTGAAATCACATCTGGCGATTCTCCCCTAAACTTCTCACCTGGTCTCGGATAAGGACAAGGAGCACAAATTTGTTCCAATGTTTTGCCCACCACAGTCCAGCTTGTGACAAATAAATGTCAGGGCAGGTTAGAAGTCACGGTGGGTGGGAGCTTGGAGGCAAACTGGACCCAGCAGAGGACAGCTGGGAGAGTGGACTCAGCAGAGCAGAGTAGCTGCTTCTACACAGGTCCCACGCTGTCCCTGTCCTGTGCTGTGAAGATGGAGATAAGTGGAAACTGAGTCAGTGGGGAACACTTAGAGTAATGTGTCCAGCTCTCACCTCCCCCAGGCCACCCTGTACACACTCCCCCCTCCCAGTCCTCACCTCCCCCAGGTCACCCTGCACACAC